CCTTTTTTCTCCACGTCCAGTTATCCTACTTCCCTCTTATCCCTCTGACCATTCGCTCATCGCGTCAACAGTTCCGCTCATCTCTCTCTCTCTCTCTCTCTCTCTCTCTCTCTCAAATTTCGTTGTGTGAGTGCATTTCAGCATAAAGAAGTATAAAATCATTCAAAATGCCACTGGCGGTGGCCTTCGTCTTTCTCCAGTGTCTGAACCTTTTTTGAACAAAAAGAAACTGAGAAGAGACAAAGCAAAGAGCACAACTGTGGGCGAGACTTCTGAGAGCTGTGATGTCTTTCTTTTCATGAATGTATGTGTATATGTGTGTGTGTGTGTGTGTATGGTGCGTGCATGTGTGTGTTTGTCTGTGGGTGGGGGTAAGTGCCGGTGTGGGGTGTCAGTGTGTACGCGTGCGTGGACGGGGTGGATGGGTGGGTGGTCGGGCATGAGCATATTATTGGTCTGGCCGGGTGGGTGCTGGTGTGGGGTGTTTGTGTGTGGTCTGTGTACTTGTGCGTGGACAGGGTGGATGGGTGGGTGGTCGGGCATGAGCGTATTATTGGTCTCTCTCTTCCTTGTGTATTGCAGACTCTCTTATTTAGCGCTACGATGCCTCGTATGCTTGCCGAGTTTGCTCGAGCAGGTCTCAAAAGTCCGGAGTTGATCAGATTGGACACGGAGTCGAGGATCAGCTCTGATCTCCAGGTTGCATTCTTTACGGTAAGTGCTGGAACTTTGCAGCAATTTATTTACATGCACGCACAGTGATGCATTCCCCGACGGTCGGTGGCCCTTGACTGGTCGGCACCTACCGGTTGAGGGTCGTCGGCACCCCGCAATTTTTTTATTTTTTTTTAAATCGGGTGCAGAACCCCTAATAACCCCACCAACACCCGCATACAACCCCCCAACACCCCCAAACCGCCCCCAACACCCTCATTACCCCCCCAAATGGGCTGTACTCAGCAAGCTCAGGTACAGCCCCCAACTCAGATTTGAAAAAAAATCAGTGGATGGTTGTTTTCTGACTGGTCAGCGGACCGCCGACTGGTCGACTGCAATACGGTCGGCGGTCGGGGTTGGAGGTCGGCGGGTATGCAACCCCGACTGATTCACCCTCCTCGTGACGAAATGGCTGGGAATGGCGAGTGGGAGACCGACTCACCGTCCTCGTGTCGAAAATATTGCAGACGAGTATTCTTGTAATCGCTGAACTCACGGCAATGCAACAATGTAAGGCAGTGTGTGACAGCAACATGCGACAGCAGTAGAATGGTGACATCAACACTTGGAAATGCAGCATCACCCTCCTCGCGATGGAAATATCCCCGCCAAGAATATTCTCCTATTTTGTTTGGACGTTTCGCCTGTCACTATTTTGTTTGGACGCGGGGCAAAATTGCAGGTCGGGCCTGCTGGATGGAAAAGGCTGACTGACGGCCCAAGGGCAAAATAGTGCACCGAACCACCTCCGCTGGAATTGGTGGGGGGGAAGGGGGAGGAATCCGAGTTGCGAAAAATCGCAGGGGGCGGGGAAGAGAGACATAAAGTAAATGGGGCTTCGAAAATTGATTTGCATTGCAATTCTACACAAGATTTATTTTGCCCAGAAGTGTTTGAGTTGTTATTATTTTTTACTCTTTCTTCGTGCTGGGCCTGCCCAGACCTGGCCCAAAACCTTGCACCACCCGGCCATCCGGGTAGCGAGAGGTGGCCTGGACGGTCGGCCCGGTATCCGAAGAAGAAGATCATTTAGTAAGCACCGAGCAGTGAAGGAGGGGGGATTTAACTGGCCGTGATGCAACGAGGGAGGGAGGGGGGGGGGGGGGGAGGGATTCAACTGGCCGTGATGCAAAATTTTGGGAGAAGACAAGTTTGGAGTTGCGTTTTTGAATTATTGTCTCTGTCAGCTCTGCCTGTGATTCATGGGCTTTCGATAATCGAGACGTCATAGTTGTTCTCGGTGAACTGGAACGATACAAAGAATACTAGTGTGGCGCCTGTGCAAGGATGCGATGCACAAATTGAGAAACGGTCCTACTATATAAAGAAGCAAAAAAAAAAAATAAAAAAAAATGCAAGGCAGTTTGGTTAAGAGGGGGGGCATACTCACTCACACTACCGTCTTCACCGGAATAAAACACTGGGTCATTATCGCTGCATCTGCTCTGGAAGTTGCCCCAAATACAGCTAGAATGACCGGGCGTTCTGTTTGGGTGAAGACTGTAGCACTCTCCGGATGTTTCCGACAGCAATCACAGCTAAGATACTATGAAAAAAAAGGGGGTTGAGGATGAGTATGGCCTCATTGGAAAGCAGAGTCCCAGATTTGTCATTTCAGGATCTTGTTGAAGCCCGCATTGGAACTTGCTTGTCTGATAATGTGTAAAACGATGGGTGGGCCTTTTCGGGTCAATCAGTAGACATTATTGGTGGGCGGGCCGGGCCCTTTTAGGCTCAACAACTTATCAAGAGTCACAAGAGTCACAAGAGTAATTAATGGCTAGTTTTTTTTTCCTGAATTTTGCAAAGGAGGTGACCGATGTCTTGTTGAGGAATGGGCGCGTTTGTTTCTGCGCCGCTTGCAGGTTCGACATGAAGAGAAGGCTGCTGCATTACTGCACCTAGTGAGAGAAGTCATCAAGCCACGTCAACAGACAGTGAGATCAAATTCTCTGCTTTCTTCCTTTTTCAATATATTTTCTTTTTTCTCTTCTTTTCTTTTGAACAAAGCCTTGAAGCGAAGGACGCTGAGGAGAGTGCAACAAGGAAAGAAACGTAGTGAGAGTCAGTCTAAAGAGTGCCAGAAAAATTTTAAAAAAAGGAAAGAGTTCTCTTAATGCTGGGCTCTCCGCATAGCACACAAGCTTTCAGAGATGCATCAATAAGTTGATGCAGGCTCCTATGCGCATAGTCCTATCGAGTGTGCTATGCGCATAGCACACTAGATAGGACTATGTGCATAGCACACTTGATAGGACTATGTGCATAGCACACTAGATAGGACTATGCACATAGGAGGCCGCATAGCACACTAGATAGTCCTATCTAGTGTGCTATGTGGATAGCACAACCTTTCAGAGATGCATCAAGGAGTTGATGCAGGCTATGCACATAGCACACAACCTTTCAGAGATGCATCAGTGAGTTGATGCAGGCTATGCGCATAGCACACTAGATAGTTGTGCTCTGCGCATAGCACACAACCCTTTCAGAGATGCGGACTCTGCGCATAGCACACTAGATAGGGCACCCCACATAGGACACCGAGCTGCACGTAGCGTTTGAAGCACACTGCAAGGACACCGAGTTGCTAATGCTCAGTAATGCTATCTGCGAGCAAACAGGAAAGTGCACTTCCGTCGGGGTCAGAATTTCATCACTGTCACGTTCACGGCATACACTCATGCCACACTTTTTCTGATTGCATCTAAGCTGGAATGTTGGTTCGGTGCATCCTGTTGTAAATCCCTAGTCCTTGCACTTGCAAAAATAGCTAACGTGAGAAATCAGACGTCCGGGCCGTCCGTGGTCCTACCGGGCTGACGACCTGGATCATCGAACGATCTTAAGATTTTAAGATCGGGCAAAGATCTGGGCCATCCGCGTTCCTGCCAGGCCGATGGCCCGGATCGTCGCACAATCTTAAGATTTTAAGATCGCGCGAAGATCAGGGCCGCCTGTCAGGCACCACTGGGCCAATGGCCCAGATTAGAACTTTGCAGGCAAGAAAAGGTCCCGGACCACTCCCCTATTCGGTAGTGCCGAATGAGGCACGAACTTGGTCGCCGGTAAAGGAACTGCGCCGTCGTTCGACTGTTTGGCTGTGCAACAGCAACACACACCACACGGACATCACATGGACACATGCACGTGAACACAAGTGCACATACACGGACACACACGCACACATGCACATGCATCCTGGGCAGACTGTCGGGGTTCAACTAACTCACACCACAGGGCGCTGTGCGTACTATGCCATTAATGTGTCTCCTTGCTTACAATTGTAATCCTTATACTGTTGCTGATTTCGCAGACGTTGTTCGCTGGATAGAAGAAGAGCACCGTGCTGTCTGCCCAGAGGACGACAGCGCTGCGCCTGGAGTGATCATAGAAGTCCCGGCTATGGCATTTATGGGTAGGCGATTCCAGCCTGCTCCGCAAAACCACGAGCCAGGCACGGATCCGAATATTCGGGCATATATCTTATATTGTCCAGGTCACTTCAGTGCTCTTACCTTTGCAGATAATTCATGGACCCTATGGGACAATGGCGGTAGGGTGCACACAGTGGGAAATATCAACTCTTTCTATCACCAAATGCTGGAGGGTCACTCAGTCTGGCTCATCCATCAGGAACAGTATGTCGATGAGCATTTGCAAGCACTGCACCCCCGGGAGAGCAATCCGGCTGATTCTACCACAAACAGTGAAAGGACCTCTCCACAGGATGATGGCTGTGCCCTCCCGTTGTGTCGTCGCACAGGTGCAGTTCGGTTGGCATGTACACAACATAGCCTCTGCTCCGAACACTATGAAGGGATGGTCGCTGCTAGCCTCTCACACGAAAATTGTGATCCCCAGTCCTGTGCTCATCCCCCCCACCCCTTGATTACTTGCCCAGCATGCCGTTGTGGCCTTGATCTGCCATGCTTAAATAACTGTGCACGTCAGCCTTCCATACTAATGACATGTCAGCAACATGCCATGTGTCGTCAATGCTTCCAGGAAGCTGTCATAGAAAGTATGTGTCTTTACTGCGTGGACTATCCCCGGTGCCATCACCCTCCACATCCTCTCCTAGCATGTCCCACATGCGGTATTGGTCATACACCTACGGCAACCGCTGAAGGATCTCCCTCTTTCTTGCCAGAAGAACGACGAACACAGCAGTCCGAGGAGGAAAATAGACTTCTATATGAACCACCGGCAGAGCGATGTGCTCATAGTTTATCACCACCAGGGGCGAGCTGTTGCGGATCGTATCCTGCAGCAGCTGAATGCCCTTGCGTTGGACCGATCCTCCCTGTCGTCGTCTGCCGATAGAAAAGGAATGCATACTGAAGCCCAAGAAAGATGCTCCATGCCGTTTTGTGATGACCCGCCGGAGATTCAACTAGCATGTGGTTCACATGCCTTGTGCCGTGAGGATTATGAAGGTATAGTCCATGCGAGTTTTTGCTTCCATACGTACGATGACAGTCAGTATTGTACTCATGTACGGCACCCGGACATGTCATGTCATATTTGTAGACAGGGGCTGGAACGGCAATGCCTCTATAATTGCGGTCGACATGCCTCTGTGTTCCTAGCATGTATGAGCCACGTAGCCCGTGACTGTGTGACATCTGCCTGCGCCGTGCCATTCGATGCAGCAACTGTGACTGCGAAAATTGGATGCGGTGCTTCCATAGTCCACAACCGAACCGGTCCTGTCCGGTCTGTAGGGGTGGCCACTCGCCATAGTTTGTGTGTGTGTGTGTGTGTGTGTGTGTGTGTGTGTGTGTGTGTGTGTGTGTGTGTGTGTGTGTGTTTTCCTAGAGTAGTCTGCGTCAGCGGTGAATATTTAGAAATCTGTGAAACCCGTCATACACCTTTCCCCTGCTCTTCGTATGTCATACTCTATCCTGCCCTCCACATATTTCTTTCCTTCCCGTTGCCCCTACCGCCCCTGCCCCATACTCCTAGAGAACTCCGCCTTCTATCCCTTACCCTGCACCCTCCCCTCCACTCCCTTTGTACTTTTAACAAATACATACGAATGAGCATCATTAAGAGAATAGCCGACATGAAGATCAGAAATGAAATGAACGGAAGTATGAAGATGAAGGACGGACACAAAGACTGTATAAGCTGAAGATCTGAAGTGAAATGAACAGGAGTATGAAGCTCTGAAGAGATGCACAGGAGCATACCTTCCCTTTTACTCTGCCTCCTGAAATAACGTGCAAGTGGGCCATGAAGGCACACGGGGATGTGGGCAGCTGCCGGCTCAACCACAATCAACGTGGGCAGCCTTGTGCGTAAGAGGCACAGTAAAAGGGGAGCTGCAAGAACAATGAAAGGGGTACCCCAAGGACAACCAAAAAACTGTCTAATTATAAA